GTTACTAGATAGCATATAGATATAAAAGATTGTTATCCTGTTAGAATTGGCTAGAACAAGTTATAAATGCTGCTAACTGCAATAAGACATGCAGGGCTTACTGGGGTTATGTAAACACCTGGCTAAGTCAGCCAACTTTTATATTATTTAGGGCAAATACCTTATTGCTTAGGCTGCTTAAGCAAGCAGTTGGGTAACCACTTAGGTGCATAGCCTAAGTAGTTAGAGAGGTTGCTAACCACATACTTAAGTGTTTGCCTAAATAGTTATCCTGGAAGAATGTAGGCTTGCCTCCTGTTTTTGCTTTTCGCTTTTCGTGTTTTGTGCTTTGCAGTTTTGCCAATGGCCACATGCTGCATGGGCTTTCGAGCTGCTGCGAGATGCAAAAAGCCTTCGGGCTCCAACAGCTTTCGGGCTAGTGGCGACTGCAAGAAGCCATTGGCCTGGACCAGCTTTCGGGCTATGGATGAAAGCCCTCGGGCTCAGCAGATCTTTCGTGCTGTCAATCATAGCATGTCCTGATTGTTGAATCTGAAGATTTGTGTTTTGCCGCTGCAGAGCTCACAGCTGCTGGTGGCAGGAGTCTTTTTCGACACAGACAGGAAAGCACGAGCATGCTGCAGGAACATGACTTTGCAGATGTGCACATTCGGCCAACAACCTTAAGCCTGTGTCTTCAGAAGTGTGCTGCGAGCATGGCTCTGACTCCGGAAGTGCAGAAGGAAGTGGACCAGTTGCTGGAGCAGAACATGCCGATGGTCAGCAAATGGAAAGCCATGGAGCATCTCTTGCTGGAGCATGGTTTGGCATGGCGAGCCGTGATCCATCCATCGATGATGCTCGTGCATCCTCTTAACAGAGGAGGCCTTGGAGTGAATGGCCATTCGGCTCATGCCAAGGGCGCTTCCTTGCTTCAGAGCGGTTTCGACCGGAAATTTCTCCACTCCTCCACCTGCTTCGAGGTGGCTGCCGAGGAGACGACCCGCCAGAAACAGTTCAAGTTCAACGAGGCCATGGTGGGCCAAACCGACGGCCTTCTCGGTGCAGTGAGCGGCTCGGAGAGGTTTCTCTCAGTTTCCTGTGGGCATGTCTCGCAGTTCACGAAAGCGGCCTTGTGTGGGTGCAAGACGGGGCAAGCTTCTTTGCAAGACAACACAGGGTGCCTCAACAAGGAGTCTTTGGGCAGGGACGAGGAGTTCAAGCAGATGCTCGATGGTTGGACATGGCTGGTGATTTCCAGCACTGTGGAGAAGCAGTGGCCTGACATGCCTCGCCTGGCAGAAAAAGCATTGAATGCTTCGAACACGGCCTTCCAAAGCCTTCTGGAGATTGAGATTGCCTTGCACATGGAGGAGCTGTCCAAAGGGATGAAAGACCCGACGGTGGCGAAGCTCGCTAAGGAAGCTTGCCCTCCAGGCACTGGTGGCATCAGCAGATATGCTGGATCAATAGCCAAGTGGCTGGCCGAGTTCTCTGACAAGGGAGAATTCCTTCACTTCCTCAGCTTCATCAGCCGAGAATTCGGGGAGCAGTGTAATGTGGGCGAGGACTTTTGGAGCTACGTCGCCTCCACTCAGTATCTGCCCGCAGACAAGGTCTTGGTGAGACTTGCTTTCCTGACGACCCAGTTCTCAAGCCCAGCACACAAAATCCAAGATGGATTCGCTCGCTTGCTCGTCAAAGGCGACTGGGACAAGCTTAAGAAGCTGAAGCAGGAAGTGGCAGAGATGGAGTCGTTGCTTTTCCAGGCATGGCAGGACACAGCGAGCCGTTTGCCGAATCCTGAAGCAGCTCGAAGCTTTGGCATGCTTTGCATGCGGATGACTCTACATCTCGTGGGCAAGCAGCAGCTTGGACTTGAAAACAGAAAAACGAGTTTAGGACAGGTTTAGGGAGCTCCCAGTCTGAATTTCTAAGGAAGATGGGCCGAGACAGCAAGACCTTCAAGGACCTGGCTGCCATCTTTCAGGAGTTCCAGAAACAGACTGACAAGGTGACCTCTGACAGCAGTGCTGCAGCCCCGACTGCTTCGAGCACTCCTGCAGGGCCTGGGCTCGTGAGTTTGGGCCAAGCCTACGACCCCTTGTGGCAGGCCCAGCAGAAGCTGGATCTGAGCATCGGCAATCTCTACCAGATGGATGGCGAGCTGTACGAGCTGACAGCAATGAGCCAGGACTTCGTGACCTTGAAGAAGAGAGAGCTTTTCGACGACTCGACGGTCCAAGTGGAGACGTGGACGTGCCACAAGAAGCTGCGGCCCAGTAAGACTTCGGCACCCTACTTGCTTGAGGCAGCAGTTGCAAAAGAGCACCACCCGGGAGCTGGCAGCAAACAGCAAGCTACCGTCGCCACTGTCTACACCCAGCTGCTCGAGGCCACGACGAAGTTGGAGCACAAGAACTTGTGGAAGATGATCGCTCTGAATCCCTTGGCACGAACAGCCTACAGCTTGCAGAAGATCCCCGCTCACCAGCTCACTTTCGTTCCGTGCACGGACAGCCCCCAGCAGATCAGCATCAAAAAGCCTGAGGCTAAGCATTGGGGTGAAGTAGTCTTCCAAGGAGTTACCTACTTCATCCTGGCTCCGAAGTCTTTCAAGGCAGCCACGACGGACAAGGCCAGCAGTGGCTGCACGGCACCCTTTTGGTACCTGAAGCCGGATGAAGATCCGCTTTTGGATTGGAAGGAGAAGTCTGTCGGTGGTTTGCAGATTCGCTGTTTGAGCAATCCCAGAGCCATCGAGAAGCATGCACTGCTGACCATGCCTCTGCTCGAGGAGCCAGAGGCTGAAGAGGCAGTTGCTGCAGGATCCTCAGGGCCTCCCCCAACAAAGAAAGCCCGGAAGTGAGATGCATCTGGAAAAGCTTTCGGGCTGCAGTTCAAGAAACTGTTCCCTTATATCTGCTCCGAAGGGCTTTTCTTGAGTCGTGCTTGCAAAGCTTTCCGGATGCATCTGGCTACCTCGATCCGCCAACCTTTTCCGACTCCTTGAACTCGGCAGAAGAAAGAAAAATGTGTGGTCTGAACTGCTTTTGCATGCATCAGTAAAAGCCTTTGGGCTGTAGCATGGCCTGGCAGGATGAGGCTTGCAGCTGTTGCAAGAGACTTTGTCGCTTCACTCGCCATATTGTGGCCCGTAGAGCTCGCAGGGCTTCGTCTTGGTCATGCTGCTAAGTCAAGCATGAGATAACCCTGCAAGGCTTCATGCTGCAGATCTTTTCATGACAAGTTTCTTAAATATAGGACACGTCCACCTTGCATCATGGTCACGATCGTGAAGCAGGTGAAGCTTCAGTTCAAGGGCAGAAGCTGGGTGGTGCCTCCAGGCTTTCTTTCGGAAGAAGACGAGGAGCAGTTCGTGCGGCTAAGGGTGTCCTGCTACGGCCTCTGCATCTTGCTCGGCAGCTGCAAGAAGATTCGCAACCCTTCCTTGAAGGCCTGCATGGCTTTGAAGCAGCTCGTGGATGCTCGAAACCGCAAGCTGGGCTTGGTCGAGGAGGAGGACAAGAAGCCGAAGCTTTTTGGAGACGACGAACGACCCACCCCCAAGAGGAAGCGGAAGGCTCAGGCTCTGGAGAGTCCGAAGCTGGACTTGGACTTGCCGGATGGAAGTGGCATCGTCACCGTGAAGGCTGTGAAGTGGACTCGGGAGGATTTGTCCGTTCTCTTGGAGGCCGAGCAGCTGGAGAGGCTCTTCAACTTCCTGCTGGCGGAGGAGTTCTGCTTCGAGGCCGAAAGCCGTGGCTATCGGAGGACTGGGAATCATGTGAAGAAGCCGAAGATGCGAGATCCCGCAGAGCCCAGTGACAGTGATTGATGGCTGCAGCAGCACTCGTGCTTCATTGTCCTGCTGATGCTCATCTACATCTGCACACCACCAGTTCTTGCAGAAAGCTTTTTTCAATGTACAGAAGAGTTTGCCAGGCTGCTTTTTGTTTCAAGCACGAACTGTCCCCCAAGCTGAAAACATCCAGATGTCCGTTGCAAGCGATCTGTTTCAACAGCCTTCGGGCTCGAACCCTATAATCGCGATCTGATTCAACAGCCTTCGGGCTCCAACCCAAAAAATAAAAGCTGGCGGGCTCAACAAAAGCCTTCGGGCTCTAACACAAACAACAGATAGAAGCTTCGGAGTTCAATAACAACCTTGGGGTTTCAGAAGGAAAAGAAGTTCAGAGTGTTTCTCTCTGCTTTGGAATGTTGTTCTAGACTTTGAAAGTTCCTGGGTTCAGCTTATCCAGAATAGCAGGTTTCCTTTTGAAGGCTCTGGCTTAGGCTGCAGGGCTGAGGGTTGGAAACTTTCACTCTGTGCTTTCAGGGAGGAAAAGCCTTCGGGCTGTGCTGTAGCAGCCTTCGGGCTCTGCAACCCAAACCCCTTAAAACCCCAACCCCTAAACCCTAAACCCTAAAGCCTAAAGCCTAAACCCTAAACCCTAAACCCTAAACCCTAAACCACTGCCCTAAAGAACTTCGCCTTCCGTGCAGAAGCGGCCCTCGCTCAAGCTAGAGGCTTCGTGGCCGAGGAGACGGACTTCAGAC